TAATTAGTGTGTTCTGCAAAGACTGGAATTTTAAAAGATTGATAGCAACTGACACTTAAGTATTGGATGCGAAAGTTTCAAAATATTTGATAGATATGCCACGCAAGTGAGGCTTTCACTTATACTGATAATAATGAATCTGCTCAGAATTTATCGCAGTAAAAGGAGACGCAAATAATCATAATGATATGATATGATAATTGAAATCGAAACCATTACTTGCTATGCAAATGTTAACGACAGCTAATAAAAGGAAACAGTTGGCAGTGAGATAAGAAAATCATTGCAAGGAATAATACATTAGCTTCTCGAGTGATATTTGATCTTTTTAAAATTTCAAATTTCGCAAGCAAGGTAGAAACGATGGGAGAGATCAATTTACAAAGTTAGCAAAACTTTATCACTTACCAAGAATTGAATTATCACAGAAATAATGATAGATAAATTGGATGAATGATATCAAAATAGTGATAATAATTAGCAAAAGGAATTACCTCATCAATACTTTCTCATGTCTTACAATCAGTTCATAAATAATGAGCTGATAACACTAAAACTTTGTACATTTAAATTAATTTAGAATTATTAAAATAATATACAATACTAAGTTAATGATACCGTAATCATATGTTAACGATATAAAAAAGAGAAAGAGAAGAACTCTTCAGCAATGTTAAATGATCAACAATACATGGAATAATACTCTGTTCTCTTCCTAAATAAACGTTAAAGAGTTTTTTTTAAAGCCTTAAAGTTAAGTGAAAATTATAATCCAAAATGATGAAATTGTAATGTCCTATTGAAGTACTTTCATTATCTCAATTTATAGCTATTGGAATGTTTGCGTTTTTTCCCAGATAACTGTTAAAAACTATTGCAACTCGTTTATTGATAAAACTATTGACATTATGGATGATTCATTGAATATTTACTTATCATTTTATCAGATAGAAGGATAAGATGAATAGAATTGCTATGGCTAATCACAAACATTAATGTAAAAGAAAATTTGAAAATATCCAAATGAAATATTATTTTTTGAATAAAATAAAATTAATTTTAAACAATTTTGATCAAATAAGTTAATCATAAGACCGATAGGAAATATCAAAGAGAGAGGGAGAGAAAAAGAGAAATTCTTAGAAATACTACTAAAATTTAAGCTAGTGAATTTAAATAAATGATCGGATTTAAATGGATAACTTGTGATTTATTTCTCAATAGTTTTTTTTTAGAGTAAAAATAAAAAACGAACAACAAAAATAGTACAAATTCCCTCGCACTTTTATTCCAATCATAGCTTTTATTGCTAAAAAAAAAAAAAAAAAAAACATCGATGAATGAGCCATAAATTATAGCCTATCAATTTAAGACTATCAATTTTAACAATTTAAATTATTTGGCCTTTTCTGGATTCTTCCTCACCACGAATTCATCATTTTTTATTAAATTGAAATTGTTCAATATGCATTGAATTTTTGGACTTAGATAAGTAAATGATTTATTATTATTTTCCTTTTCCTTTTTTTTTTTTTTTTTTTTGCTGAAAAATTTATTCAAGCCCTATTTATATGACCATATAAAGCATATAAAAATGAGCCACAAATATCCTAGGCACCATAAGACTATGAGACATAAGTATTTGGTTCAATATATTTCATGGATGAATAAAGATGAAAGATGGATAAAAAGATCCACAAGGATAGATATTTGAGAAAAAATACTTTTAAAAAAATAACCAATAATTTTTTTCATTTCAATTCATTTACAATCGATTAATGATGAAAGGTATACTCCTACTGATTTCTTATCATATCTTCCTCTCTCCCTCCCTCTCTTTTTCTTTCTCAACATTTACCTATCACAATTTTATCAAACCTATAAACATCAGTACTTTGACTTTGAGTTAAAAATTTTATTTTGGTGTATTTTTTCTATTACACTATAACTAATTATCTAATATTTTTCATTCTTCCAATACTTTGCAACCTAAATTTGATAATTTCAGTTCTTTCAACTCATTTGTCTTTGTTTCTTCCCCAGTTTCTCACATAAAATTTATGTAATTCAAAAAAAAAAGCGAAAAATAAGTTTATAATAAATAACAACCCTAAAATATATGATAGCCCATTACTCTTTGCATAGCCCAGGCCATCTTTAACTATATTTTGATCATTCTATGTATAACCTACGCTATCCGTAGATGTTTTTCTTTTTTTTTTTTTTTTTTTTTTTTGTTTATTTTTGATAATATAGCTTCAAAGTTAAGGCTCATATTTCCTAAAAATAATTGGAAGCAATAAGTGTTTCTCTTAATAGAGAAATGAAAGACAAAATAAATAAATTAATTATATTTAATCTTTCTTAACTTGAAATGAATTCAAGAAAACCAGGCAATAACAATAACAAATAAATCCTTCAAACTTTGGAACTATTCAAATATTTTTTTTCAGTTCAAAGTCTAAAAAATTTTTCTTTTTATGAACACAATAAAGGTTGGTTAATTAATTATAAGTAAGGTATTATAGCCTTTTTAATCTAAGATTGGCAAGAGATTTCGCAGAAAATTTCAAATCATTTTCATATTTTAATTTCAGTTCAAGATTATTACAAAATTAAATAGGTAAGACAAAAGGATATATATCAAAATCTAATTCTCTGAAAACTTTTATTTCAGTTCCATTCAACCTATCTCAATTGTTATACATTTGCGCCTAGTGGTAATAATTTCATTACTAATTGCCCCAAACTATTAATTACTACAAATCAATACGAAAAAGAAATCTTTTTTCCTACACTCATTTCTTCTTTACTGCTCTCTAAGAATTTTCACGAATATATAAGAAAATTTCTGATTTGAAAAAAAAAAAAATTTTTTTTCAACGAAATACAATTATTCCAGAGAAATATGATATGGTAATCATGCAAAGTCGCATGTACAAATTACTATTTCTTCTCTTTGCTAATATTTTCATTTTTTAATTTAATAGACTGAACAAATATTTAAATAAATTTAATATTTATCAAATCTCTAAAGTTTAAAGTTGAGACTCAAATTGAGTTTAATAATTTAAATCAATTAAATCTAATTTATCATTGTTTTTTAAACTCTTTTCTTTATGGATATATTCTAAGAGAATATCAAATAATTTCCCCTCTACCAAATACAATTTAAACTTGTATTAAGCAATTTTTCTTTCTTTTTTTTTTTTTTTTGAGTCATAAATTGCTAAAGATGAAATGCTTAGAATAGAGCAAAAGCCTTAAAATATAAAAAAAATGGTAATCAAAAGTTCAAGAAAAATTGAAAATAAACTTGTAGATGATTTCAGAAATTTGTCTCGACAATCTCGACAATAATATTTGAAAATTATAAGTAACAAACAAACTTAAAGATTGCAAGCCTAGGACCTGAACTTACAATCCTTTGGCTTCTCATCTTGGGAATCTTCTCTTAAGGTTTAAATTTAATAACTAACAGGAAGGACACTGAGTGCCTCCACAAATTTCATTTTCTACTAATCGTAAATGCAATTATTTGACATCATCATGGAAATGTTTGCTTATATCAAAAGCAAACGTTAAAAAAACGATGGAAAGAAGCGGCTTTTTCACTCACGTCATTTTCAAGCACACAACACGTAAGGTCAATGATCAGTATATTTAATTAATGTAGCATAATCTTTAAATCTAACTAAATTAAATTGTTGTTGAATAAAATATAATCCATTATCATAACACAACCCTTGTCTTAATTTTCTTAATTGTTATAAATTTTATCAGTCAGTGATTCTTTAAAAATAACCTTTAACCTCAGGCAATATCAAGTCAAACATATTTTATTATCTATCCATTAATAACAGCATCCACCTAATATTTTATTTCATATTTTCCTTTGCGAATAGATGGACAAATTTTGTTTCATTTGATCTCTGATCAAATAAAATCAAAAGCAATGATTATATCAAACTTATCAATGAATAAAATGAATATTTTTTTTTTTTTTTGATTTGAATGATATGTGTATTATTACTTGCGGATGCTTTCATCACTTTTTCTTTTTCCTTTAAAATTAATGACATTTAATTGATAAATTACATCAATTGCTCCAATACATCTCATGCAAAGATAAAAGATGTTGAAATTAGTAAAATTGTAAAATGAATTGAAAAATTTTTGGATTTGCGAAATTTTTGACAAATTTTATCCAATGATCTCTGATTTTTAGAAGTTGAAAACTATAAAGTTTTTTTTTTAATTAACTCTTTAGATGTGTTATCTATCTGAAGAGTTAATCAATTATATTTTATTCATAAAATATTTAACAACATTTTTTTATACAAATTCTTTTCCTAACTTTGAAAGGATGCGAAAAAAATCAATGCTTTTTTAGATTGCCGAAATTTTCAGTTCAATAATTTTTAAAAATATAAAGAAATTTTTGCATGCTTCTCAATTCTAGCAACAAAAATATTTCTTTGCAAATTTTTAGAAAAAAATTTTTTACAAGTTCAAACTGCCGTTTCAAAAAAGATAACAAGCTGAGATAAAAAAAAAAATTTTATAGAGATTGCAAGAAACGAATACCACAAAAATTTGGAGTTTAATTAATCCTTATTTTTGCATAATCAGCAATATTGCAATCTCTTAAATTATTCTTTTGACTCTTACTTTTTCGCTTATATCTTTGCTAATTAGTTTCATTTAATTGAAAATGTCTCAAAAACAAACAAATTTGAAAAGAAAAATACAAAATAACTTAAATTATTGAATGGAAAGGAGAAGTAAAATTAAAATAATGAGAATGATTTTATTTGTTATTTAATATTTACAATATGCTGCAGAATCTTTACAAATTTAAAATGGATGAAAGTTTTCTTTAATTGATATGAAATGGACATGGATTATGCTTCCCTATCTAAAATACTTGAAATGTTTATCAGTCAAATACTTAGAATTTTTAATTCATAAAATAATTAAATTTCAAAAAATGAACTAACCATATGCTGGGTCCATTCGACAAGCGATGGTCTTCTACTTCGAACTCGTCCAATACTACTCATTTCAGGGCAATTTTATGAATATCACCGATTTCAGCACTACCAATATTAATAATTAATTTCTGTTTCGGTGTTTGAAGGCGCTAATGAACCGTAACGAATTGATAATATCTCTCTAGATTGTTAAATGTTTCAAAAGTTGTTGACACCGTTACAGATTGAACACTGAAAAAAGGATGAAATTAAAATTTCATTTTATAAAATTTATTTGCAATTAAAATAGAAAACAAACGATTATTGGATGTTTTTGGAAAATTTTGTAAAAATGAATTGGTTCATTGCTTTAATGTCACTGATTTTAAGTCATAAACATCATATTTTTTCCCTTATTTACTAATTGTCATTTCTTCTTTTCCATTATGCCTAGTTCTAGGAGGAACCGGAAAACCTGAATCATAACTACATACGTATGTATAATGAATCTAGTAGCAAACATTTGCAATATCTTTTACAAAAATAATAAGCAATAATTATTTTCGATTATATTCAGGAATGAAAATTACATTTCTTATTTCAGTAGCTTCAATTTTAGAATGTTCTATTGAAATCATTAAAAGTTACAATTCAATTATCCAAATTAATGCATATAGAAGAAATATCTAATTAATAAATTATTATCTATTTCGGAAGACTTTAACAATTTGCTGAAATTTTAAATTATAAATTTCGGCCATAGATGGAAATTCAGAAGAATTTGAAATTTCAAATTTTTAGAAATGATTGGATTCTAAAATTTAGTAATTCTAAGTATTAATCAATTCAATGAGATTTTTCTTAATTTTTCAGAGAAAAAAAAGACAAAATTACAAGAATTTTGGTAGTATCAAAAAATGAAATCAAATTTTTTGTTACTATGCAGAAAAAAAATTTTTTCGGAATGAATTAATACTTATAAATTAATTGGTAATTTGAAATTGCCAATACAATAGGACGTCAAATAATAATACTTTTATGAAATAGTTATCATGAAAACAATTTATCAGTGACAACAAAGAGTTTAACGACTATTTTGTAGTGAGAATTAGTCCAATATGAATTTCTATTAAAATGAAATAATCGCAAAATTTTAGATAGGAAAGGAAAAAATTTTTATTTTCAACGTTTTTTATTTTTGTCTTTTACAAAAAAAGAAAAGCTTAATTTTCCATTCTACAATGATAATTATATAACAGTCAAATTTCTTTCCATTTTTTTTAAAATTTTTTAAAGAATTGAAATAATGGAAAATCTGTAAATAGAATTTCAACAAAAGCTATCAATTTGTCTAAATTTTAGTGAATACTAAAATAATAATACATAAAATGCCATTCTTAAGTTTTATCAAAAAATCAAATTTGCTATATTTCTCTTCTTTAGTTTAATAAATAAACGACTAAAATCAACTTAATGAATAATTAACAATAAAGAAATTAACTAATCAATTAATTAATTAATTGAAAAATAAATAATTCAACAAAATAAACAACTAACAACAAATAAATGAATAGTTCAATTAATAATTGAAAATGAAAATATAAGTTATCAACTAATCAGCAGTTTCATCCATAACAATTAACAATAACATAACAATAACTTCAGTAACACAGTGAATATTTTATCGCTGAATAGTTTCACTGCCATATTTTACTGTTAGTATCTCCAAATATCATTTTCAATTAATCATTACTAAAATAGAATTTCAACAATTCAATGGATGAATCGTAGCAGAAATATGCAGAAAAAAAACAGAGCAATGAATAAATGATTAAACACGGAATTTGAATTTGAATTAAAATCTAAATATTACTGTGACACTTCCGCCTTCATTCATTCAGCTATGTCGTGATGTTATCATGATAATTAGTATGAATATTGGCTTAGCTTATCAGTTCTCTTCTACATATACTAATTCGACTTAAACTATCATAGCAGAGAAAAATCCGATTTCACTGAGCATTCATCAGCACAATAATATCATTTGATCAACTAATTCACATTCAAAAATAATTTTAATCTAAAAAGGCTTTTTCTAAAAATTTTTAGAATATTTTCCAGCAATATTTTCCTAAAAAAAGAAATTAAAGTTTCCCAAATTTCCCAAAATTTTCCAAAAAATTAAAATAAATATGTTACATAATAAATGTATTCTAATTCCGTAAGTGTGGAAATTTTTGGTATATTAATTATGCTTGAAGCATAAATTTAATCATAATTCCAAATTAACACTATTTACTTTTTCATTTATTTAAAATCTTTAAAATTTAATATCAAATATCAAAAGTTCACTTTAAAACGAATACACTGCTAAAATAAGTTCGTTCATTCAATTAAATTTACTAAAGTCTAAAACTATCTAAAATTTCCATTTTTAGCTAATCGCCCATGAATAAGCCTAGCTCATTTCGCTCATTTACCATATAAACGGAATGTAATTTCTTTGAGAAATTCATAAAGAATAATGCAAAAAACTAAAATGGCGCACTTAGCTAAGCCTTTTCATAACAGGGAAAGATGAAGAAGAAATGCTCTAAAAGCTTATTTGTTAGTATCATTGTGTACAATTTCCTTATCCAAAATCATTAAATATGATCAGAATTCATAAGCACACAATTTTGTACAATTGGCAAATAATTCTGATAGAAGTGACAAATATGAGGAATGAATGATTTTATGACAATTATTGTAGTTTTTATCCTGTTTGACGTGAACTTTCACCACTATCATTTGCCAGTGTTTTATTTAATGAATGGAACTGTCACCAATTAGAAAGTTGTTGGTCATATTTTATTGTTTTATAAAATTTCATCACTTTTAAACTTATTTTTATAAATATTTCATCATATTTTTTGATTTCTGATTCCTATTTCTAAATTAAATTTTTTTAAAAAAAAAATGCAGAAAAAACACGCAAAGTGTGACAGAATAAAATTCTATGGAAGAGAAGAAAGATAAATCTATTCAGGAAAAGAAATCTAAAACGGTTTTGCATCTAACGGAATGAAAATGGAAAAGGCTAACGATGTATGGTACTATTCTCAATCAATTTCTAAAATTCATTGTTTCTCTCAAATTTTAATTTCGGAAGAAAATGGAACCAAATAGTATTGTGTGAAGAAAACTTTGAGAAATAATACATTTTTATGACTAAAAATTAAAATGAAACGAAAAAAAAAGCGAAATTAAAACAAAACTTTTTGATTGCATTGAAAAGAGAGGGAGAGAGAGAAAGGGAGGAAAAGAGAGTGAGAGAGTTATGATGAAAAGTAAAACATAGCAATTATTTCAAATGAAAATGAATGAAAAGAAATAAAAAAGTTTTTTTTTTTCTTTCAAAATGAGTAAATTTCTTGTTTCAACAAAAATACGCTTATTTTATTCTTTTTTTTTTTTTTTTTTAAAAAAAAGAACTTTAACAATGCAATGAAAATGGCTGTCTTAAAAAAAGAAAAACTTTTCCTTTCATTTTTACTTTCATAAAAAGCAAAACATAAGAATAATGCTAAGATAAGCAATAGTTACTTTTCAGTTTGTTTTATAAATTAAAAAAAAAAAGATATATCATTATGAATAATCGACGAGAGAAAGAAAAAAGAAGATTAAAATCTAAGGTAACTCAAAACAAACAGTCAGTACCTGTTATTTACAAAGATTTAATGCTGATTGCTACTTGCTAGTAATCAGTTAGGTAAAATAGAATATTAGAAATATTTCCAAAAGTGAAAGACTTAGGAATTTGCCTTAATTAAAAGCTTTCTTTTCAGAACTTTTTAAATTGTTGTATTTGATTACAAAAGAAAAAGAAAGGAAACAAATACCCAAACAATCAGAAATGATGATAGTACTACTCTTGAGGTATTAGGATTTCCTGTACAACTTGCCAAACTACTATAATAATTTCATTTTTACTTTGTTATATCTAGCCAAAGGTCAAAAATATAAAATGTCAAAGGTTAGGCTATGATAATAAAATTCAAATTATGTCATATAATGCTATCTAAAATCAAACAGTAGTAAGTAGTAAGTTCAAAGACAAAGGAAAAAGGAGAATGAATAAATCAAATCACCAATTGGCTGATAAATATCTGTCATCGTCATAAGTCACAATCAATTTATAACAGATTATCAAATATTGTTGATCAATTAGGAACTTTTCAGGGAGAACAACAAAAGCTATCTTTGATACGAATATTTTGTGGCTTTAATATGTTTACTTTAAACTGCCACTGATCTATGAGTAACCCTATCAATTACCAGTAGCGATAGCAATAGTAGTAAGAGTAAAGTATAAAGTAGTGATGGTTGATAATAGTAGTAGCACTGTAATTGTCCACAATTTCGCTTCTTTTACTCAACTAGTAATGGAAATCACAGACTAGCTCGATGAGTAAATAAATAAGTAATATCAATGATAGAATGTATAAGTTTGCATTGTAGATTGAAAATTTCGAAAAAGTGGCCGGTTTTTTTGTCTGAGAGCAATAAATTATTTGGAAAAGAAAAAAAAAAAAACGAATCCTCTCTTGAAAAACCACAATCAAATTTTGCTTTATTGAAAAGTAATATTTACATTTATTTGCGTTTTCTTTCCTGTCTTCTCATTTCTGATATTCTTTTCTAATATTAGAATTAAATGAACTGTTTTACACTTTCAGTATGCGATCAAATAGCAGTAGTACAATTTGAATTAATTTATGTTTGAAGATTAATTTCGATATAAATTAGTATCAAATTTTACTGTTAAAAGTGAATAGAAATATTTTAAAAAAGACATTGGAAAAAGCATTTTAAACAAGACTTGAATTGAAAATGTTCAAAATAAAATGAACTAATTGTGCTTAAAATTAAAATTTCAAAATTTATATTTAATTCTCATGGTTTAATAATCAGTTACTGTAGAGAAAAAGATGTAAGAAGAATAGAGGAAAAGAGGAGAGTTGTGACATTTGCGCTGCACATTATACCTTCGAAATACTTTTATCTTTTTCAGCACATTGGTCATCAAATCAACGAGTCATCATTAGCTT